GCCCCCCCCCCCCCCCCCCCAAGGTGGGTTATCTTGGTCGGGTAAAAACCGGGGGTTTTTTTTCGCCCCGGTTTGGCAGGGGATGGGGGGCCAATGGTTAACGAATACCGCATGCACTGCTATGAGTACCCCCCCCCCCCCCGACGTCCAAGAAACAGATCAAGAAACAGACTTATCCCTCGCACCTTGGATCTAGCCCACTGCAGCACCTCCAGGTGGCCCTCCCTCGCTGCGGCAGCGCACATGGTCGTGTTCCACTCGCACCCGTTCTCCTTGCACCACTTGACCACGTCAAGATCGCCCCCTCCGCTGGCCCAGGTCAGGCAGCCGGCGTCCCACTCGCACCCTGCTTCTCTGGCCCACTTAAGCACTTCAAGGTGACCCGCCCTCGCCGCCTCTGCGCAAACCGTCTTGTCCCAGGGGCAGTCCTGTCATGCGTGGTGTGATGTAATGTGGTGTGACGTCCATCAAGCCCAGGGTTTGGGCGAGGGTTACGTGATGTTGTGTGCGTGGTGGACAGCATGGAAATGGCGGACGACCCATCAAGATTGAGTATGACTTTTGTACATACGCAGGGTTTCAGATACGAGGCAGAGTACATACCGCACACCTAACGCCGGTCTCGACGTTTCTCACAAACGCGGGGGAAACCTCGCTCGCGATATTCAACCCCCCGCCCCCCCCCCCCCCCCCCCGAAATCCCCTTTTCCCGAATCGGAAGGGGGTGAAAAAAAATGGTTTTGTAAGGGTGGAAAAAAAAATTTTTTACTCTTGGGCCCACGTCCACCCCCGGACCCCCAATGTTAACGTACACAAAATTGCGTCGGAAAGGTTGTCTCCTCTAGGGGCTTCCAAATCCCTTCCTCTTCCTGGGGGGCGAAACAAAAAGGGGTTACGGGTGATGAACCCCCCCCGGTCGCGTGAAAAAAAATAATTGAAAAACCAAACACGCCTAATTCCCATCCACACTTCCCGTTTTTTTTAACCCCGTTGCCCAAAAACACGAATTAAAGCGTCCTGGTCCCC